GACCTGCCTTGCGCTGCACCCAGCAGTGGTGCGGGTGGGACAAAGGCCAGGGTAGAGCCAGGACATGGTTTTGGGTTGCAGGAAACTTGCCTTGAAATATCACCCCGACAAGAACCCTGACAACCCGGAGGCTGCAGACAAGTTTAAGGAGATCAACAACGCGCACGCCATCCTGACAGACGCCACAAAAAGGAACATCTACGACAAGTACGGCTCGCTGGGGCTCTACGTGGCCGAGCAGTTTGGGGAAGAGAACGTGAACACCTACTTCGTGCTGTCCAGCTGGTGGGCCAAGGTGAGGGCAAGCTGCCGCCGTGCGGGCACCTGGGTCACTCCATGCCTGCAGGGTTCCCGGCACTGAAGTGCCAGTGCGTTGATGCCAGCAACTCTATTTCTGGGCACATGGAGCCTTTCTCCTCACCTGTGTGATGGGCGAAGCTCTGTCCCTGGCTTGGTGTCCTGCCTGGAACAAGCCAGAGCGTCCAGATTGTCCCAGGGAAGAGCCCTGCGGAGCCGCCAGGTTTTTTTCTGTAAGTGGCTCCCAGTCCTTCCCGAGGTAGAGGAGGAAAGGAGCCTCAGTGTTCTATTCACGTTTCTTCCTTCCCTCCGTTTGTTCCTAGTGTCGCATATAAGGCCAGAGGGTTTGAATCGCCAGGTGGCCTTTGTGAGAAGCCCGTGTTTGGTTCTGACTAGTCGGCCTCCTCACTAGCATCCTTATAAAGTACTTTAGTGAATGTTAGTCTCGCTCCGTTGCCCCGACTGGAGTGCTGTGGTGAGATCCTAGCTTACTTTAACTTTGAACTGCTGGATTCACGGAGGCGTGAACCACCGCCTCCAGTCCCCGACCTGGAGGCTGTTTTTTTGTTTTTTGAGACGGAGTCTTGCTCTGTCTCCCAGGCTGGAGTGCAATGGTGCGATCTCCACTCACTGCAAACTCTGCCTCCCGGGTTCACGCTATTCTCCTGCCTCAGCCTCCCGAGTAGCTGGGACTACAGGTGTCCACCACCACGCTCGGCTAATTTTTTGTATTTTTTAGTAGAGACGGGGTTTCACCGTGGTCTTGATCTCCTGACCTACTGATCTGCCCGCCTCGGCCTCCCAAAGTGCTGGGATTACAGGCGTGAGCCACCGCGCCCGGCCTGGAGGCTGCTTTTCTTTAAGCAGCGGGTTTCTTTCTGTCTCTCCCCCTCCCTTTGTCAGTTATTTCCTTCTGCTTCCTGTCTGGAAGGCAGTGTCCCCACCTGGAATGGACCCCCTGCCTTCTGCTGAGGGCATTTGGGAGCCCTGCCCCGCCTTCTCCAGGGGCCTCGGAGGCCTTGTGACGCCACCTTCTCCCCCCAGGCCCTGTTTGTCTTCTGTGGCCTCCTCACGTGCTGCTACTGCTGCTGCTGTCTGTGCTGCTGCTTCAACTGCTGCTGCGGGAAGTGTAAGCCCAAGGCTCCTGAGGGCGAGGAGACGGAGTTCTACGTGTCCCCTGAGGATCTGGAGGCCCAGCTGCAGTCTGACGAGAGGGGTGAGTGCCCGCCCCAGGGCCTCTGTGTGTGTGTGTGTGTGTGGGGCAGAGCCAGAACGGGCCCTGAATGGTGTCAACCTGTCTTGTCAAACAGGAGGGCACTGACACTGTGCCGCGAGTGTTTGTGGTGGCAGCTGGGACTGTTGAGGTGTGAACGTGGACCCTGAGGTAAAGCAGGCGCATAGAGCTGTCCCCACCGTGACCTGCGGTAGCAGTAGATCCCACGACTGCGAGGCGGGGCAGGGCGGCAGGCAGTTGGGGCGGGGCTGAGGGCCAAGGGCTGGTGGTGACCCAAGGCGACGGAGGAAAGCCGTGCGGGTGGAGGTCAGCGAGTAGCCTCGCCCCGTGGAGAGTTTGTCCAGGTGCCCGAAAGTCGCTCCACAGGACCAGCGTTGGTGGGCGCACACCAGGCTGCGGCCCCCGTGCAGTGCCCTGTGTGCTTGCTTTTCAGAGGCCACAGACACGCCGATCGTCATACAGCCGGCATCTGCCACCGAGACCACCCAGCTCACAGCCGACTCCCACCCCAGCTACCACACCGACGGGTTCAACTAAATCCAGGAGAAGCTGAGGTCAGAGGAGGAGCCAGCGCCGGCCACGCCCACCTTAGAGTCATGAACTGTAGTCACACAGATGGGAAGGCGGCCTCGCCGGGCCCCTCCTGCCTCCACGCCCACCCAGCGCCAACCCTTGACCCACGAAGCGCGTAGCATGCAGTATTGAAAGCAGTGTAGCTACGGTCTTCTGTTCTTTTCCTTTTGTAATAGCATGTACGGGGTTGTGTTCCGTGTCTGTGTTGTGGACGTTCCGCGGCACGACCGCGTTGACCGCACAGTGGAGCTGCCTCAGGGCTGTCGGTCAGGCCGGTCCGGTGAGGGGTGACTGCAGCCAGCCAGGTGGGTGAGGAGAAGGGGGGCTGCCCCTTTCTTCCCTGTGCTGGAGGGGCCGGAGGCAGGTGCTTCCTGGCAGAGCTGTGTTACCGCGTTGGCCTCGGGGTCTGGTCCACCTGCTGTGCTCCCAGCCTTGAGGCTGCAGTAGGACTGATCTCACCTGCCGGCAAAGGGGCGAGGCCGCGTCACCGGCGTCACCGTCATTCCTTGGTGTCTGTGCTGGGCACAGTTGGCTTGGGGCTCTGTGGTTTCCGGGGCCTCGTGGCAGGGTTTCTCCTGTGGGAGAATTTGGTGTGGGAAGCATAGGAGGCTCCTTCCGAGGTTGACCCCGTGTCCTCCGCACAGTGTTTCTGGCCTGGTCTCCTTGTCGTGTGGACGCTGCGGTTCCGGTCCTCGGAGGTGTGTCTTTCGCCCGTGTTGGGGTTGTCTGTCTGTGTTCCTGCACTTTTCCCGGGCTCTGAGCTGGATTGATGGGGCCAGTCTCCCCCCTCCCGTCTTGGGGTCATTCTCCACATTCCTTCCAGACCACCTGTCCTTTCCGTAGCCCTTTTTGGACCTTTAGAACCACAGAGAGTAGGACCAGCCCGATGAGCCTCAGAGAGTAGATTGTGCATATGTGAGCACCCGGTTGCTGGGTACGGGGGCTCTCCCAAGACCCCTCCTCGTGTGTTTGCCAGAGCTCCCGTCTGCCCCACTCGCCTTTGCCCCGTCATCGATGATTCAGGCAGAGCCAGATTCATTAGGTCCCTGGAGGAAGGACTGACTGGACCAGAGGGACCCTCTGGCTCAGAAGGGTTGGGTCTGTGGGAGGCCAGACCACGGAATCCACCTGTGGACCATTGTGGGTCCCTGGGAGGTCAGACCACCAGTGTCCACATGTCGGAATCCACGTGCGGACCATTGGAAGTCAGTCTCGTGTGTGTCCTAGACCTTGGTGGTGGTGCCCTGGGTAGGGGAGCGAGGGGAAACTGTTCTGACGTGCCTGTGCTGGCCGAGGGCTCAGAGCTGCCCCCGCTCCATGGCTCATGGCCTGTGCTGGGCCTGCCTTTGGCCCCATGCTGCAGACTCCAGTGGGCCTGGTTTCTGCAGAACGTCCCTGGTGGCTCTGGCTCGGACCAAGCCGATGAGCCTCCTTTCCCCACCTGCCTGCTGACCCGTGGCCCCAGCTCGCTCATTGCCCTCAGCGGCCACCCAAGGCTGTGTAGAGGGGTAGGTTCAGGTGGACCAGGAGGTGGCCAGAAGGGACATGGTTGTGAGGACACATCTGGACGTGCTTAGAAACGGGGTGCTGGTGAGGCCCCCAGCTGACCCCTCCTCTAGGTCCACATGGACCGTGAGCCGGCGGCCGTGAGCACCAGATCCTGGGGCAGTTGTGTCCGTCCCACCTTTCTTTGTTTTTCTCACTAAAATGATCATGAAGACCTTTGACGAGAGGAGAGATATGCACTGTGATGTTAAATTAGAAATAATTTGTCAAAATCAGACCTCTCCTAAAAGAGTAAGAATTCATTGGCCTGTCCTGAAATGTGAGGCGGCGAGACAGTGGGGTGCCTCTGTGCCACTCAGCACAGCAGCAAGTTCAGCCTGAGATGCCGGCGACACTCAGCCTTTGCAATTTTTGTAGATGTAGCTTAGGACATGAGTGATTTTTCTGCAGACTGGCCAAGAGCCAGGTTCTAAGCTTGGACCTAAGGTAGAGAGCCACCCACTGGGGGCCCTGGCTCAGCCCCGCCAGGCTCTCTGTTGCGCCTGCACACAGCTCTGTGGCTGGAACACTCCAAGGTCCTTGGATACTCATCAGAGTGGGCCCCTTGCCCGATGGCTTTTCAGTTACAGAGTCCAGTGGACCATTTTTTAGAACCGTGCAGCTCCCTGCAGAAGGTGGGGTAGGCGGGGAAGGAGCAGCAGGTCTGGAGGTTTGTGGAACCTGGTCCCCTGCAGAATTTGTAAAACCTAAGTAACTCATGGCCGTGGCCATTCTCACGGTAGTGACTGTGATTCTAAGACCCCCAGGAAGCCCAGACACTGGGGCCTGGAGCTCCTCCCACTGCCTGACCTGGAAGCAGAACCCTTGTCAGCAGCTCTGCCCTGTTGGTTTTAAGGCCTTGTCTTGTCTTAAGGAAGAAGATCCTTCCAGGTTTTATTTCTCTTTTTATTGAGTGGACTGTTCCCCATTAAAAGAGGTGGTGAGTCCCCAGGGACAGCTTACGCATCTCCCTGTCCACATGCTAACAGATCAGGACGCCCCCAGCATCCCTGCCTTCCGGTGGCAGTGACGGGATCCCCGACCGCTCACTCTGAGGCTGCAGACGGTGCTGTGAGCGTGTGTGGCCGTGAGCACAGAATGTCCCGTTGGAGCCGCTGCTGGGCGCTGCCAGGGGCCTGCTGGGGCTGTGCTTCGAGGCCTGTCCAGTTCACAAGGGGGTCCAGGCAGCACGGACTGCTTCTGACCTGCAGAAGGCATGGCTGCAGCCCGAGGGCCCTTCACGGCAGCTGCTGTGTAGATTGTCTCCACTCAGTGACGTGGGATTTTTTTGTCTTCCTTTTGGCTTTATTTTTAAACTGCTTTAGATATTACTGCTCAGTGTTTGTGAACTTTCCTAGCTCTCTGTGTTCAGTTCGTGCAGCAGCACCCAGTGGGGACCTGTTAGAAAAAGGACCTGGTGTGCGCATGTGCCCAGCAGGAAAAGCTTCATCTTCAGGTCGGCGCTGCCGTCCGGGAAAGGCCCTGGAGCCTCGTGCCGTCGAGGCTGCTCCCAGGTGCTGCGTGTCGCCAGTGGCCCCCGTCGCCTGCTGAGCCCAGGGCGTCTGTTTGGGGTGGGCCTTGTGCTGTGGGGGCACCAGCACGCAGGCTGCCTCTGGAGGGTCCAGGTGCTGCGGGCAGAGTTCGACGTGGGGCTTGTCCACCCTCCCTTAGCTCTGGCTCAGTGCATCCTACTGTGGGGACATCTCGTGGGGGACACGAAGTGACTGACCTCACCCTTTCCCAGTATTCGGAGCTGTGAACCCGTGTGGCGCAGGACTGGCCTGTGTCTGTTATTTTGGTTGTAAATCATCCTCCTGTGGAATTGGCAAAAGCTACGTATTTACTGTCCTTACCAGCAACGGTTCGCGTCGTCACATGCTGTGAGTGTGGGCTGTGGTGTGTCCGTGTGTGTACATATGTGTATATGTATATATCACACAGCAGGCGTGTCGTTTGTGCTGCTGTCCCGTGGTGAAGCCGCAAGTACAATTTAAGGTGGCTCTGAAACGGCCTTTGGTTTCTTGGGAGTCGGGCAGGGACCTGCAAGAGGCTTTCCTGGCAGGTGCACAGAAGGAAGCGCTGAGCCCACTGTGTGCAGAGGATGTGTGCCCAGGGCACTGCCACGGCCCCCACCGGTGTTGGCCTCTGCTCTGCAGGGTTGGGTGCCCATCCTGGGGGCTCCGTGTCACGCCCACCTGACCCAGGTGTGTGTCCCGGTGTGAAATCTAGGAGGTGACTGGAAACCCTTCCCTCCCTTGAAACATTAAAGCCGATTTTCTAAGCAACACATACAATCAGTGGCAAAGCTGCATCTGAAGGGCAGCCTGGGGAGGGGCCCCGTCCTGGCCCCAGGTCCGCCCCAGAGGAGGATACAGAGCAGCACCTCCAGAAGGGGCTGGGCCGGGTCCTGCAGGCGGCACCTTTTGGTAGATATTGTTTCTCTGGAAAATGGGGAAAATGTTTCAAACCAGGTGAGGGGGGGAAGTTAACACTGAAATATGTCTTGTTTTTAAAAATCAAACGCAAACGCATGGAAGCTGCTTGTCCATGCACTGGTTTTTTCACTGGCGTCCTGGAGTCCGACCGTGTTGGGGTGCAGGCGCTGTCAGACTCCGGCTGATCCTGGCTCGAGCACACACATCTGAGGGCCAGGCTGGTTCCGCATGGTGATCTCCGTCTTGTATGTCTGAATGTTGACCTAAAATAAAGATTACTGTTGTAAAATAAATGTTTTCACTGCAGACCCCACGTGTGTCTTATTCCCTGGTCCCACAGATCCCTGGTTTTCGAGAGCAGATCCCCGGTTCTGGAGAAGCAGCAGCCGATCTTAGGAGCCCCCACACCCCTTGTGGCTGGAACTTGCCTCCTGCCTGGTCCACATGTGGACAAATGCCCCCTCCTCTTGATTCTGTTTTCACCTCCATTTTCTAAGTATCAAGACTGGAGCAAAGAGGCCGGGCGTGGTGACTCATGCCTATAATCCCAGCACTTTGGGAGGCCAGAGTGGGAGGATTGCTTGAGCCCAGGAGTTCAAGACTCACCTGGGCAACAAACAGCGAGATCGTGTCTGTTCAAAAAAGACTTTAAAGAGTTTGAAATTACTGGCGTCGCTGTGCCTGAGGCCCCAGCTCCCCAGGAGGGATGATCACTTGAGCCCAGGAAGTCCAGGCTACGGTGAGCTGTGGTCCCACCCCAGACTCCAGCCTGGGTGACAGAGGGAGACCCTGTCTCAACAAACTAACAAGCAAAAACTCAGAAGAATGTAACATCTTGAAATCCTCTATTCAACCTTAAGAAAAATGAAGTAAGGGCCGCGCATGGTGGCTCACACCTGTATTGCCCAGCACTTTGGGAGGCCGAGGCGGGTGGATCACAAGGTCAGGAGATCGAGACCATCCTGGCCAACATGGTGGATCCCTGTCTCTATTGAAAATACAAAAAACATTAGCCGGGCATGGTGGTACGTGTGCCTGTAATCGCAGCTACTCAGGAGGCTGAGGCAGGAGAATC